CAGGTGGTTCTGCCTGATGGTTTTCAGTACATCTGCGATTATTACCAACCCATTTTTGGAGGTATGTTGAAAACACAATCCTAAACATTATCAAGCAGCAAACTATTATGATAGCAAGATAAAAAGAGATGTCCATGATTAGAACTTGTTTTAAAAAGAAATCTGCTAGTAAATATATCATTAACAGATTAGTGTGTTAAATGACAGTAGACATTTCAGTGCATCGTACAGCAATGCCTTACATATGGTTATATCCACTAACCTTATGTCTGTATTTCCTCTTTTAAGACCTTAGTTTAGAGACTACTTATTCGGAAACGTGTTTATTTATCCTGTCAGATACTTTAGGCCACCTTTTCAGATATTCTGAACATCAGCAGCTCCCGCTTGACTGAGGTGGGAAGCTTGGATGTTTAAAAGTTATGGGAGAGAAATCTTGTGCAACTCCAGTAATTCTCCCCTCTCCCTCACAGGTGTAAAAATACTATTAAGGTAAAGATAAAAAAACCCCTACAACCTCATAGCAAGGCAAGGTGTCACATTTTCCATGACTCCTAAAGAAGACCCCCAATACGAGCACTCCTATTCCTCTCTTGTGGGTAGCTAAGCAGACAGAATTGAAATAAGAGTTTACTTCCCTAATAGAAAAGACTTCCCCAGAACTCAGTGAGGACCATTTAAAAATGATGGAAGAGGGGAAACTAAAAGATGCCTGCAGGCTGACTTTTATTTCTTTAAAACGTAAAAATTATATTTGTCCTTATATAGGAAGGGAACGGCCATACTGGAAGCAAAACCAAATGGTTATATTTTAATTTGCCTTCCATTTCAGCCACTAATGATACAGCCTTAAATGCCTGGGCAGTAGGGTGTCATTAATACTGAATTGTCTATCAAAATGAATTTGATTTTAACAGGCAAGGTAACATGATGAACTAAGGGATCTCTTAAGAAATCTTGTATTTTTCCTATAAGACAAAGATAATTTGCTATTCTTCCATTCAAGATCAAAGAAGGGAACTAATACAAGGAGACAAAGACAGAAGAGAGACAGAGCATTCGAAGCTTCAATTTTCCCTCTAACACAATTCACCCTATAGAGAAAGAAGATTAAGAAAGGGAGGCTATATAGGCCAAAGAGAACTCTGGGCAACTTTGCTGATATGTTTAAAGCTACTGTACTTGACAATTCTTATTTCAGAAGTAAAATGATAAACAAAAAACAAAGCACTTTTAATCTTCAAAGCAATGTATGATCAATAACAACTTCATAGCACTTGATATTCAAGCATCATAATCTGTATTTTACTCCAGGAGAGAAAGATGTGGAGA